ATAGCGAGTAGGGTTTCGAGACTACCAGTCCTTTATCACCTTAGACGAAATAGGGTGAATACATCTCATTACACTGATTTACTGGTAGTCACTTCCAGTCCTTCATCACCTTACACGAAATAGGGTGAATACATCTCATTACACTGATTTACTGGTAGTCTCGATTCCTTCATCACCTTAGACGAAATAGGGTGAATACATCTCATTACACTGATTTACTGGTAGTCTCGAAACCCTTACTCACTATCTTATATATTTACCGGTATTCTGGAAAACTTATGCAAAACGAAATTGTTCATTTGTGTAAGGAAACAGCTGCCAACAAACGCACTTCTGGTTCGTGAATTAACTTCACTCATTTGTAAGTATGTAGAGTAAGTTTGAATTAGCCAACCAAATCATAGAATGACTCATTAAGATCGCGAAGTTAGGTGCATAAAGAAGCGAATAGGATTGCAGCCGGCCATATTTTCTCTTGATTTAGTATATGTTTGCTCTGTTTTGTAAAGTATGGATTATTGTTCTGAGGATATCTGTCACACTACAGACGCAAGCCTAGCACAAGTCCATCGGGGTTGCAGGATGGTGAGCCGATGACTTGCTCACGCAATACAACAGTCTTCCCTACGCGACAATCCTTCTTCAGTTACCGGTGATTCCACACCACGAATTCATTTCATGTCATAATACAATAAGGAATTCTTCGAAACCTAGTTATCCTTAATAATCCAACCATAAGACGCCGGCTGATTCGGGTTGCGCTGCAGTCGTTTAGCTTTAATACGACGTTCAGGCTTACGCAGTCCACCAGGCATCCCCCCTCGCTTCAGTTAAAAATGGATATATATATATATATGTACTCATTGCGAGAAAATTTAGATATAGATGGACGTAGAAAGGTTTGGTTAATTTACTTATACTCGTGTGTGTGTGTTTGTGTGTGTTAAAGTATGTACGTAGAATCGGCCATTAAAGTCAAACGGCTGCAGTACAATGAGAATAAGCTGGTGCCTACTGGTGAGGCTGACATAAAAACTTCTTCATCATGCACTTTCATACGAAGTGAAAGCCTTTGCATCAATGTTATGTATTTAGCAGTTCTCGACAAGGCTTGAATTCATTTGTGACTTTTTCCTAAACTAATCACCGTCAGAGGGGCGTCGAACCCGGAACTTTCGGGCCAAGATGCAGGCATATCACTTACCTACACGACATGCCCTTAGGGTAGCGTAAGATTCATTACAATTTTAAGCGAGTGAAGACGAACATGCCTATAAGTGAAAGAAGTTCCAATAAACCAGAGAAGAATGCCACTGGAGAAGTTAGGCCAGCCGACCCAGACAGTTAAAGCGACATGAAAATTTGCCACAGGGCTACAGGGTGTCAAAAGTGTTTACTTTACGCTTATATCAGGCATAAATATGGTGAATATTTGTATGGAGAAGAGGCATTGGCAGTTAAATTTTCCCACAATCATTCCAGTATACATGATATTTCAATTGAATTTCACAAACACTTGCCTTCCCAAAAGTTATTTTCAGCCAAGCAGGAGTGGATTGGAGTTTCGATCTCGCCTCGGTCTCATCAGCAATCTTATCGAGACTCGAACCATGACAATGCAGCATATTATCTCAACACGTTAACCACTACGCAAGACTGTCGAGTGCCCTTGGGTCACAGGGAAGATGTGAATTCCAAGAAAGGCCAGGCATTTTCCCATATTATATTCTGTGATGGGATTGTTGTAAAATGTGACGTAGTGTTTAAGGAGTCGAGAGAATACATTGCAATGACAGGGCTCGAGTCTCGCTGTGGGTGCTGATGAGACCGAGGTGAGGTTGAAACACCAGTCCACTTCAGTCTGGATGAGAATACCTTTTGGGAAGCAAGGTTATGCCAAATTGAATGGAAACATAAGGTGGACTCATATTATTGTGGGGAAATTCTACTACCAGTCCGTCGCCTTAAACGAAATAGGATGAACACATTTCATGAATCTGATTTACTGATAGCCTCTAAAACCTATTTAAAAACGAAAAATACTATGGAGAAGATAGAACCACATCTAGCAAAACGTTTATACCACGTCTAAGGTGAGATATTCGAGGTTAACAATGCAGGCAACACTGAAATCGATCCTTCAGCAAGGCCATGCCCTGAACCTTACAACTGTTGGTCTCCAAAGGATGTTAAACAGAATGGCTATGATGCTATAACCTGCCTACTGCTGGTAAAAACCAAAGTATGCTTTAGGAGGATAGGTAAAAACTTCCATCTGCCAGCAGATTCTACACACCGTGAAAATATGCTCAAAATTCGTTTAATTATGGTATGCTTTACATGTCGTTTATTTCAGATATTCAACTAGTATCACATCCATGCATCCATTTTATCGCGAGGTCTTAATTTTACTAGTCTTTATATCGAAAATCGAAAATCGAATATCGAAAAGACGAAGAAATTCATAGGAGTTTGAGCATACCATATAGGAATGACGAATACTACTGCTAGAGGAGACCATGAGCACCGGGTGGGTTGCCTAAGGAAGAAGCAATTTATGGGGTCGGCAATGATGGGTATAAAAAGTAGGAAAGGGGATGTGAAAATGGCTTGGCTTGAATGTCACATCTACTCTGCGACCAAGTGGAACCAGTGGTTGTGTAGGGGAATAGTAATGTCGTCACGATTTGAATGACCCTGTAACGAATCCTGTTGAGGATGCTGATGAGATGTAGATCATAACGCTGTGGTGAAAACTCAGCTATCAGCCCTTAAATCAGTTTAGCGACCTAGGGTGATTAAGATCTTATTCCAGAATTATCGATAGTCTCGAAATCTACTCACAATGTTCTAGCATGATCAAATGCACCGTAATAAGCAGATTTAGATGTCTGCTATGAATACAATCATTATAAGCGAAACTTAGAAAAACAACAATTTTTAAAAAATCATTATTACATGATATCATGAGGCCTATTGACTTCAATATGGAAAATTTGTCCAGCTGCACTCAAGTAACCCTAGGCGACCTACAGTGACTAAAGTTCTTATTATGATTATGTGATTTGAGAGATGCCTTGATTGCTTTGAAAGTCACATCTTTACCGTGGCCCATTAGCACCCGTGGCTGCAAAGCAGGGTGATATTGTCACCATGACACGTACGACCCAGTTTCGAATCCCGATGGAGATACTAATGAGTCGGTCAGGCGAGGTGGAAGGCGCGGTCGAGGCAAGATGAGAA